AGTTAAAGGGAATTTTCTGTCTGGGACTGAAGAGGGTGACTCACCATTTCCAGTCCTCACAGACAGACCAGTAATTCTGACCTGTGCACCTGAGCTGATCTGGAGCCTTTTCTGAGTTTAACCTCTTTATGCCAAAAATCAAGACTAATTGAACCCTGGAGTGGGCTGTAGAGTCCTGCTTCCAACACTCTCATCACAGACTCAGTTGGAGTGAACTGCTAATTACTATAAATGAGATTATTTTAATTTTCTCAAAATGTACTGGACACCTGTTAATTACTGGATAATACTTTAATGGGTTATTCCTCAAAAAAACCACAGGCAGATTAGACTGCATGTGCACCTTTGTCTGCCATAATACAACACATTATTAGTAAATCCATAGCTTTTCTTTCCATCATGTACATACACAGCAACTAAAACATACCAGGACCCTACTAAGGGACCAGATAAGTAATTGTGTCTGCATATGCTCATCTCTCTGCAATACGTGCACATCATATATATGCTACATGTATATATAAATATACATCTCTACATCCACAAAATACACACATTCATATGCAGTTGTATTTTATTCCACACAGATATGAGTAAAAATTCTTACTGGGATATACAAGCAGCTGTGCATAATTAGCCTGGTTTCTGCTTGGCAATTTAAATATTGACATTACAGATGTTTCTACCTAGTTCAAATCTGTTACATTTCCAGACCAGATTACAAAAGGCACTGAGTATATTTTTGCTGAAATGAAGATGATTAATCCCAGGAAAAGATTGCTGAAAGTTTGCCATCAGCAAGTTTTAAAGTATGCCCAGAACTGCACACATTTGTAAGCAAAGGAACTTGAAAACTGCTCTGTTGAGTTGTATCCAAACTGAATATCCCATCTTCAGTAGGGAAGGACCAGGGAAAAAATGTGTTAAACAGGTTTGTTTTTCCAAGTATAAGACTTTTCTATATTCTCATGCTTTATCCACCTTTACAAATAATTATTTTATGATACTGAAGAACACTCTTGGCTATTCTTAATTCCTTCTGCTTCCTCTCTAAATGCCTTCAAGTGTCCCTTTATTTCTAGCAATTATTTCTAGACGTGTCAGTCCAGGCTCCATGGCTGGAACCCAACGTATCCAGGCTATTGTGCAGCACAGAAAACAAGTTGCTTTTTTTAAATGAAGTTCTCCAGCAATTTTCCTAAGCATTGCAGTTAAGGTTTTACCTCACTGGGTTTGCAGCATATTGTTGTAAGTCACATAATGTCAAATGTGTTTAAACTAATTTCTGCTGAATGCCTGCAGCAAGTGAAATGAGGTGGCTGCCAAGTTCATTTAACCAGCCTTCACTTCCCAACCTTTAAAGAGTGAGACATCCAAGGGTTTCTGCCTATGGAATACGTAAGATTACAGTCTCTCTCACTAATGTGCTGGGGTGAGTCAGACACAGGACACAGATCCTAAAACCTTGAGCTGGATAGATCAGGGATCTATAGGGATAAACTGTGTCACAACTTACAAGACAAAACCATGAGAAATCAGCAGTACAGTTAACCCAAAAACTTTTACAGTCAGTCAAAAAATAGCCACAGATGTCATTAATTCCGGCTCAGCTATTATTTTCCTGTACATACAGCTGACTTCAGTCTCATAGAGAAATTAGAGATGTAATAAATAAAAAGAAATGAAAACTGTTTGCATTTAGTGGACATTTACACTTTGACCCAGTGAATATCAAGAGACAAATCCAAGATACCTTTTTGAGCATCCTTCATTTTCAGCAGAACTATTTCAGTGAAAGGGTTTGATTCAGAGCTTGAATGAAGATGAAGGTGGCTGTGATAGCAAATAAGGTTATGCATACAATGCAAAGCCTTTTTTTTTCCAGCTTCAAAAAAGAAATACAACAACACAATTGTAATCCAAAAGGAAGGAATCAGGAATCTTACACACAAACACAGGCACACAAAGATTTCTATCAAGCTCTGCAGTGCAACCATTGATTGGGAGCAGCCAGACAGCAGAACCTGGTGAATAATTTGAGAAATATGCCATAAAATGTGAAGAACTATGGAAAATAGATGTAAACAATGTGAAATCTTGGCTGACTGGATGCCATCTGCACAGAGAACTGTGACTGATTCCAGCCAATTCTGATTCTACAGGTTCATTTGTGAACAAAGTAATTTTGCAAGCACTGGTGTTCCTGACACCAGGAAAATGAGGTTATGAAGTTTAGTGGGATGAACACCTGGAGGGAAGGGGGATAAGATAAGGGAAAGAAAGTTGAGAAAAAGTTTACAACTTTGACTAACAGGAAAGACAATCAAGATGCTAAATGATACACGGATCACTAAGAAAGGGCAATGAGAGAAAATGGATGGAAGCGATTACAGAAGAATTCACTGGAATTTGGAGTGAGAAACATGTCTGGTGAATCAGAACCATAAACTTCAACGTGGGAAATCAAGGATAGTTTATGAATGAGCAAAAACAGGGACCTGGCAGTTTAAAAAAAAAAAAAAAAAAAAAAAAAATATCCATGGGAGAGAAGAGAATTTTGGTATAGAATTTGAGAAAATAAAGAACTTATAGCAGGGGACAGTTCAATGTTGTCCCATAGCCTGGAATTAGCAGTCAAATCTAAACATTAGACTAAATATTGTTTGGGTGCATGTGGTACATAAGAGCTGTAAACCTCTGCTTTGATGGAGGGAGATGGGGCCACTGAAAGACCCTCAGGAGCTCCCAGCTCCCAGCCAGAGCTCAGGGACCACCAGCAGGATTAAAGCTGAACCGCTGAACAGTTTGAGCTCTTTGGCACCCCTTCCTTTTCCTGAAATGTGAATATGGAGGCTGTGAATCTCCTAAATCACATCACCCTGCTCAGTGGTCTAGGAATGTGTATCTAAGTGGGCATGACAAGAAGATGTTGCTGTTTGGGTGAAAATGTAATAAAGTTGGTCCCTCGATCTGATTAGTTACTCACGCTGTGCTACAACTATTGACTGGCTGTGCAAAGGAATCTGTGGCATTTGTGAGCAATGTGTTTGAGCTAATCATGAAACCTGGAGGGAACTGGAAGTGGGACAGTCTAGGGAAGTTTCCTCTGAATTCCAAAGAAGCAATCAATACCTGAAATAAATTAAGAATGTGTACTGGAGTCCTACAATAGAAAAGAGTTAGTGTTCCACTTGCAGCTGTACTCTCAAATACGAAACACATTCCCTGTTTGAATGAAAATATCATCAATATAACATCATAGAATCAACCTGGTTGGAAAGACCTCCAAGATCATCAAGTCCAACCCTTGATCCAACACTGCCTTGTTTACCAGCCCACAGCACTGATGCCACATCCCGTCTCATCTTAAACACCTCCACGGATGGTGAATCCACCACTTCCCTGGGCAGTCCATTCCAATGTCTGATTACTCTCTCTGTAAAAAATTTCTTCCTAAAATCCAACCTAAACCTCCCCTGGCACAGCTGAAGACCCAGCCCTCTTGCCCTACTGCTGGTTGCCTGGGAGAAGAGCCCGACCTCACCTGGCTCCCCCCTCCTGTCAGGGAGTTGTAGAGAGTGAGGAGGTCTCTCCTGAGCCTCCTCCTCTCCAGGTTGAACAGCCCCAGCTCCCTGAGCCTCTCCTGTGTTCATTGCACGCTTGTCACAAGTGAGGTAAATAAACATTCACCTTAAAATTTTAACCTGGTGAAGGAGCAGCTCATAATGCATTTAATACCTGCAGCTTTTCAAACACGGGGAAAGCAAAACTCATCAAAAGGTTACATCATTTCTAGAAACTGCATAAATAATAACATAAGGACAAATAACTTCTAGTCCTATGGATATGTAATACATGGGAGTGAAAGGCACTGTCTATCCTTGTTCAGAGTAAGCAAAGCAGATGTCACCACATTAAGCTTCAATGAATATTAAATATTCATGAAAATATAATACACTTGTTTCCAGCTTTCATTTGAAAATATAAGTCCATCAGCCAAAACCTTAAGCTCATGCTCATACCTTCAAGTGTATAAGGAGGATAAGGCCCTGTGTTCAATGGTGTATAGACAGACATTCAAATATATGACCCACAACTCTGATCTCGGGGAAATCACTGTCATTCCACTGACATTAGTAAGACCTTCTTCTGGCTTAGATTTCTATCACCAAGAGCCAGGTTAACTCCAGCAGATAATCTGATCATACAATTACTGCTTAAGAATGCACTGGAGATTCCTCTCAAGTGGAAGTGAAAAGCTGGTTAATAATTCAACATAATCACACAACAGTTGAGAACAACAGTCGAACCAAACTAATTCAGCCTGTGGGAAGAGTTTAAATAGGATGGTTGTGCTCAAATTGAAATTTGGAACAATATCTTATTCTTATAGAATTTCATCATCAGATAAAATCAACGGTAAATTTAATCAGAACAATTCATTGCTAACTTTAATTCTCAAAGTGTGTTTTTTATTTTGTTGCAACTGTTGTATCTGCATTTACAGCATCTGTTTATCAACATTGTTCAGTATTTCAATCTGCCCTACAATATTAGTTTATTCATAATAAGCTTTCAATTTATTTCTAGTATTTACTATACTCCTGCTATATAAACAAATAAAAATCACCCTCCCAGCAGCTAAGCTTACAGAAAAAAAGGTGAAATTCCCAATCTGAACAGAAATTTTACATGCTATTTGGTCTGAATCTTAATCATATCCTAGGGGTTTTCTTAGCTGATTCAAAAGATGTATAAAAAAAAAATTAACCTAAATCAAAGCTTTTATTTCCAACCTTTTTTTTTTTTACTTTTACAGCAGAGACTTTGTTTTTTGGGCTTGCTGTTCTAAAGGTTTGCTGGTCCCACCTCTTTGTGTAGGGGACGGGGATTCACTGAGCCACAAAATCAGCAAGAAAAGTTGCACAATATGATAATGATACATTTCTCAAAAGTCAGTTTGTGAACTATTTATAGAGATACGATTGCCATGGACTCACCTGTGGGAGATCCCTCCATGACATGCCCCACATAAGGCCCTTCTTTGAACATTGGCCTGTTGTCGTTCTGGTCAATGACAAAAATATCCAAGCGCACTGGGCCGTCGATGGTTTTCCCACCCAGATCTGTGACCTCAACTTCAAGCTGCAGGAACGAAAAGAGAGGAGTGAATTCATTAATTCATCATCACAGGGAGCAGAGAGTAAGAAGAAACCAGCTCAGCTCAGTGCTGTTGGAACCAGATCTTGCCCAGGGCGACACTTGCAGCCCAATCTTCTGGAGCGGGCTCGGAGCAGATTTCTAATCTAAGAAACAAAGACAGATGTACATTTGAATTAAGATGGTAGCTTACAAATGTCATATTATCTAAAGAATGAAAAGACCAGAGTATAAGAAAACAAAGACCCTCTGCAAATTTGATACTAATAGTGTGAAAATTTGCTTAGAATTTGTTTCTTTGCTTTTTTTCAATCCCATTTCCAGTGCACACGTGTAGAACTCTCTGGTATAACTGACATATCTCCTAATGCTCATTTTAAAAGGCTTTTTAACAACAAACGAGCAAACAGGAAACAAAACAAAACCACAAACCTGCAAAAATTCATTAGACATTAAATGTATTTTCTCAGCGATGGTGGCATGGAGTATTAAGTCAGGCAATTTTGACAGTTCTCCAGCATTTCTAGGAAGGTATGGAAGGATAAAACACATGCAGTCTCCTGTAAGCAGAAGACATGCAAACTGCAAACACCCACATCCCAATGTGTGAGAGCACCTGTCGAACAGAAAGCTGACATCTGCAGCTGAGGACTGGTTTGGACTTCCTCTGCTTCCAAAAGCTGGAGAGAAAGATCCTGCTGTATATCTCCACCCTCCAAACCAGGTGCAAGGGAAAACCACAATGGGTCACCAAAGCTTTGTCTGTTGTTAGGGCAAACCAAGCCAAAACTTGTTAAATAATAGAAAAGATCAATTTTGATTTTTCAACAGAAAAGATTACAGCTGTGTGCTGTACCTGCAGTTCTCTGCCCTCACCAAGAAATCAATAAAATACAGCAATAAACATGTCAGAGGCACCACTATCATTCTCACCTGCCCTCCCCATCCCCAGACTCAACTCTTTAATGGAGTTAAGCCAGCCAGAAAATGAACCTGAGCTCCAATGTTAATATCACTCCCTTCCAGTCTTTCCTGAGAAAGTAGTAACAGCAGGGGCTGGAAATCTCTGAGCATTTTGTTTATACTGTTAATTTATTCTTCATTGCCATGTCTTATACCTGTAAGTTATTTATAACTTAGTGATAAATCCTAGTGGGAAAGAATTAGGTCAGAATTTTAATTCCTTATTAAAATGGATGGCTTATTATCACCTCTCTCTGTATTTTATGCTGCTTATAGGTACTTTCCACATTTTTAATTTAATGTGTTGGGTGTGAGTAGGAGTATTTGTTACGAGTCAACTACCTACTCAAATAAACTGTTTGTAAATAGTGTCACAGTCCATTTTAACATCTACTCCCTGCTTATTCTCACTTCTCTGGTAGTTGTTCTTGCAAGCCTTTCACAAGCCTTATTTCCCCTATATATATATATTTATATATTTTCCTATATATATATTTATATATTTCCATATATATATATATATGGACAGTTTAAAAGCTAACAAATACTCTGATTTGAAGATAAATAATTCCCATGGCATTGGCTCAGCTGAAGCTTCATGAGGGCACACACCCCTTCATCTTCCAGGCTTGTTTAACCCTGTACTCCAAAGTCATTGTAGGAATCTTTGATGGCATATGATGTGATGGGGACTAGGAAGAAAAATAGTCTTATTTCTGAACTACATTAAAGTCAGATAAAGTTTTAGCTACAGTTGGAAACTGTTGACAAAATGAATCATAAAACAGTTTGGGTTGGAAGGGACATTTAAAGATCATCCAGTCCAACCCTCCCACCAAGGACAAGGACACCTCCCACTAGGACAAGTTGCTCCAAATCCCTTCCAACCTGGCCTAGAACCCTTATTGTAATTTTCTTTTCCTTATATCCAGTCTAAATCTCTCCTCTTTGAGTTTAAAACCATTCCCCCTCATCCTACCCAACAGGCCCTGCTAAAATGCTTGTCCCCAGCTTTCTTGGAACCCCCCTTTAGGTGCTGGAAGGGGCTCTGAGGTCTTCCTGGTGCCTTTGCCTTCTCTCCTCCAGGCTGAATAACCCAACTGCCTCAGCCTGTGAGGTGCTCCAGCCCTTTGATCATTTTTGTGGCCTCCTCTGGACCAAGTCCATGTCTTTCCCATGCTGAGGACTCTGGAGCTGGACACTTTTCTCTTGGTAAATGTTGACTCACCAGAACTTTGCTAATTGCTTTGGGAAGTGAAAGAATAGCAATATTTCTCTGTGAAATTCCAGCAAATTAATTTTCAAATTCAAGATAATTTGCTCTTAATCTATCTCTCGATATCAAGTGACTATTCTGTTCACTGGAAAGAACAAAGGCTTTGCTAAATTAAAAAAAAAAAATCTATTTCAGTTGCTTTATCAAAATTGTAAGTCATTTAAAACAAAGGCTGATCTAACAGTAGGTTTTAGACTTTTTTCCTAGAGTAGAAGAGATTAAGGAAAAGAATAGGAGATTCTGATTAATGACTGAAATGGATTTACTTTATCATTGCCAAGTCCACTGCATCTGAGACCAACTGTCCAAAAAATTTGGCCTGACAGGTCCATAGGAACAGTTACATGATCTCTGCTTCATTTTATTAAGCTGACAGAGGACTTTATTTTATTAATCTTTGTACAATAACTTTCAGGCCTGCCCTAAGCATTATGGGTTAACTCAGCAGCTCTTTTTAAACCCATTCTCCTGCAGTGTCTCCAAAATAAAAGCCTGCAGCACTGAACTTATGACCATTTGTCTTTATATGACTAGTTAGTGAAAGAAGCTGTCTTTTATCTTGCTTCCCCACAAGACAAACAAACATATAAAAAAAAACCACCAAAAAAAAATTCCATAAAGTCCCACTGCTCACAAAATAACAGAAATATATTGTTACTTACAAACACCCAACACATGCAACTGAGAAAAGCATTCAAGTAAAAGACAATATTGGCACTTGGAGCAGGTAGTGAGTGGAAAATTAGATGGGGTCTCACTATCAGAAGAGGGAGATTTCAGTCTTTCAACACAGAAGGCAGGAAAGCCTATCTGGTTTTAATGCAAAACTTGACTGAGGCATGGAAGAGACTCAATTAATTCTTTTGATAACAACAGATTGTGATGGCATGTTCAAAGAGTGTGTAAGTTCCTACCTGACTATAACAACAGAGCTCCAAGGACAAGTGCTAAGTATAAAGAGAGATTTGGACAAATTAATAAAAAACAACTTGCAGAGCTCTGTAGCCTTTTTATTTAGTGAAAACCTGCTATGTTGTCACTGTTCCAACTTGAAGGTTATGGAGTTTTGTTCATAGGGGGTTGAAACTAAATGATCTTTAAGGTCCCTTCCAACCCAAACCATCCTATGATAATGATGTTTTGTTCATCAGAACCCAAACCGATTTTCAGGAACTCCTGAGCCTAAATCCCAATTTCATTTTTGACACAAGTGTACATGCAAACTACAAAGGATAATCAAGGCTTTAGGAGAATGGTTACACCTCACAACACAAGTCTCCATGACAGGATACAAAGCAGACTTTGGCTATTGCCCCTAACATATCTGAGAAACACTGATAAAATAAAGCACACCAATGAAACAGGGAAAAGCAGAATAAACCCCAAAACTGCAGGCAGGAACAGACTTTAGCCTGTCTGATTAACTCTTACTTAATGCTCTCCCTTCTCAAAATGGTTTTCTTGACTCCCCATCCAATTTCTCTCACCACATGCAAAGCAGAATCTTCCATCAGCCTAAATATAGTGACATTACCAGAAGTTTAGAAAGCTTATTTAAAATTACACAAACCTGTTTTAAACACTCTGCTTTATTTCACAGTCTTGAGTCCTTTCCACTCTGCAGTCACCAATAACATTTACAGGAGAAGATAACCAGCCTCATTCTTACCATTACTTAAGGTAATTTCAAAAGTTTCTCTTCACAGAACAGTTGTTTTCATTCATTTATTGCTTTGGGTGAAATGATTCTGGATAGCCACCTTCCTTCTCTGCATATAAATGTCTATTTTTACTTTGCAGCCAGCCAGCCAATGGCCCACATAAAATTACCTCATAAATTTGAAGTTTTTCATAAGTAAATCTGGAATATCTTTTAATGCTTAATTATCTTCAAAGTCTAAGGCAGGCTATTTAGTCATTACCTGCCTTCTTATTTTAATTTCCAATTTGTTGCTGATAAGAATGTTTCTCCCAGAATTCTTCCAGCCCCAGCTTCACAGGAGCACTGTTGTCCATAGGTACAGACCAGTGCTGGCTTTATTTATTCCTAATTTGATTAGAATTATGACTGAGGATGCTTGTTAGGTTTATGTACCATCAATTTTTAAGTGTGGATTGACAGTAAGGAAAGGTGGTAGATTTAAGGATCATTCATGTAGGCAATTCGTGGTAAGGAAAACAGAAATACAGCCACCTGTTCATAAAAAACAGTAAAGAAAATCTCTTTATAATGAAAGGTTGTAGTAAAAATGTTATGCAATTACCTAACAAACCTCGGAGAAGACAATAATTCAGAAAAACAGAAACTAATTACAATTAAATTTTCCTGATTTATGAATATGAATAAAACATCAGCTAATTTTCATGTGGCTCAAGAATAGATGGAGGGAGACGATACAAACCAAAAATCCACTGTGTCTCATAGGTAAGCATGATTCCATCTCAGACTGCTTGATGGCAGGGTATCGATTACCACAGTGTGATGCAGAGGTGATAGCAAAAATGGCACCATTACCTGCAATGGGAGAATTTAACCTCACCTTCAGAGTCAGAGCCGAGGTGGGAAGGTGTTAATTAGCTACTCTAAGTACTCCTATGAGTATCTTCCAGAGCCTTTACCTTGCTAATGCATCCATCTCAAAAATTAGATTGTATTTCCTTTAAAAATACACAACTTATTACTCTAATTTTATTGTTTTCTTATCTAGCAACTGGGCTTAACTGGTTAGTTATGGAAAAGTCACAG